GTTATTGTTCTTCTTCTTCTTCTTCTTGGTGGTGGTGGTGGTGGTGGTGGTTTTGTTGGTGTTGTTGGTGTTGTTGTTGCTGTTGTTGTTGTTGTTGTTGTTGTTGGTGTTGTTGGTGTTGTTGTTGTTGGTGGTGGTGGCGGTGGCGGTGGCGGTGGCGGTGGCGGTGGGGGTGGGGGTAGCGGTGGCGGTGGCGGTGGCGGTGGCGGCGGTGGTGGTGGTGGTGGTGGTGGTGGTGGCGGTGGTGGTGGTGTCGTCGTCTCACGAGTTTCACTGGCTCTTGACAAGATTTGGACACTTGCCTGAAGGCCAAAACACATGTGGGCCAATGTTTGTTGTACCCTTGAAACTGCGGAGTTCAAGCGGCCGGGCCTTGCCAAACGAAACATCTTAGCTGGACAATGCCAGGCGTATACTGGCTAAGGTACGAGTATCCGCCGCTGACTCTTCACTTCGAGTATGCTTACCAGGCTTAGCAGGCGGACTTGTCCGGAAAAAGCCAGAAATGCCGGAACCGAAGAAGGGCCTGCAAATGTGAGCACGAGCTTCCATCCACGATAACGCCCTGGTCACAGCAGGAGTGGGGCTTCAAATTCAAATTATCTTACACTTTGGGGCTTGCGCTTCATCAGGTGGGCTGCGTGGAGTAAAGGTTCGAAGCGTAAATACAGGGAGTTCGTTTGAGGGCACCTCGAACAAACACTGACCTTCTCCCTCCGGCATTGGACATCTGCTCCTGCCAGTCACTCGCTAGCAGTGCTAGCAGCGGCTCAGCAGAGGATCGGTTAGGCCGACAGTCGGAGACCGCCGACCTTGTGTGGTAAGTTAGTAAGAGCTGTTACTACAGTAGCTCACTCTCGCTGATTATTATATAATGCCTACACCAACAGAAGGCACTAGACTCACTAGACGTTCGTGCGACGATGCATGCAGGGTCGAGCGGTGCTCGTGGCTTTGCAGCGGGCGCGACACACAAGAATGGCAAGATGACAGCACACCCGGCCTGGCACTCGCGCAGGACCTCAGCAGGCCTTTCCTGGGGCTTGATGTCCGAGCCGACGGGCGGCGAGTTGACGCTGAAGGACCATTCGCCTTCCTGGCCCTGCTGGTGACCAGCGTCTGCCACCTTTGCCACCTTGGATTTGCTCCTGACCTCTTGGACATCCGAAGACGAGAAGTCTTTCAAGGCGGCAATAGCCCGTGCCCGGCTCTCCGTGGAAACCAGCGCGTCCGGCACTGCTGCCAAGATCAAAGCGAACTGGTCTGCAAGGTTCACCAACGGGATGGTCATCTTAGGGCTCTGGTATGCTGGTCCGAAGCCCATCTGCATGCCAAGCTGAAGCCAGTTGCCAGACAAGAGCCCGCTGATCTCGAAGTTCACCAAGCCGGGGTTCTTGAAGCCGAACAGCTTGAAGGTGTCGGCTTCCGACTGGTCCTCGGACGTGGACTGAAGGGAGTTGATGCGCTCTCTGGCAGAGGATCCTCGGACTTCGGACGTCTTGTTGATGCCCATGTCCTCTCCGTATTCGACCGAAGCCAAGTACAGATCCTCCTCGTCCGTCTCCCAGTGCAGAGACTCCTGCAAGCGAGCCTTCGCCTGCGCACGGGTCTGGTTGCCCTCCAGAAGGGCCGATCGCTTCATTGATGCCATGCCGGTTCCACTTTCTCCATCTGTTGCGGACGCACCGAAGAAGCTTCGCGCTGTCTGGTGGCCTCCGTGGACGTTCTCCATCACGAAGTGCGTGTCGTCGCCAAACCTTTTGGACAAACGAAGTGTCCGGCTGAAGAGCATCACGCCGTTCGACTTGATGACGGACCGCAACACGCTCAGGTCCAGCCCACCCGGCTGGTGCCGTGGCCAGCAGACCTCGTGAATAGGAGGGCGCAGAGTGCAGACCCCCCCCCCCGACATTCGTCGGCTTTGGAGTCTGGTGGAGAGACTCTGGGCCGAGGGAGACGACGCGAAGCGTTTACATTAACATTCTTTAATCGTGCCGAGCCCCAGCTCACAGACAAACAACATGGGTAGCAAAAGCAGTTACAAGCTGTACGAACCATGTTAAGCCCCTGACTTGTGTGTCGATTTCGGCCAACGGCCCGGGCAGCAAGTCGAATTGGATGCCACCCACGAAGGCGACCACAGGCTGCATGTTCAACTGGAAAGTCACCGTCAGGCATTTCTCAATTGAAAAGTCCACCGAGTAAAAGGAATACCCCTGCCACTTGTCCCAATGGTCCTTCATCCACTGGTTGCCACAAGGCACTGCCCAGGGCTCCAGTTTGATAAAGTCGTCCTTGGTCTCTGCTTGCCAATCCTCCTGGGTCGCCTGGTTGTTGCTGCCGGTCTTGTTCCTAGGTGCGAACGCCAAGCAGGATCCGGTCGCCGTCTCCCTGCCATTGAACCTTGGATGCTAGACGTGGCGGATGCATGGCACCGCATGACGGATCTGTACCCTATATAGCGAGGCTTGAAACCTTGTTCGCCATAGTAGGTTGGATTCCAGGCGTCTAGGCAAGTGGAAATCCCTCCGACTGGAAATTTCCTGTCCACCGGTAGTAGTTGAAAAATGTTGAAAATGCCAGCTTAGACGAGGAGCTGGGTGACCAGCGCGTGGGTCTCGGGGCCGTAATCTTCGAAACTCCACTTGACTGCAGCCGGTGGATCCCCGGAATCCTGGCAGTGACCCGGAATGATTCTGTCTCGCTGCGGCTTTCTCTCACTCACGCACTCACTTTCCTTCTTTCTTTCTTTCCCATGGCTTTGGGGCACTCACTCACTCGCTCACTCACCTCGCTCTCGCTCGCTCTCTCTCTTGCTTTCTTCCTCATGAGGTTGGCCCCCCATGTGTGCCATCTCTCTCTTTCTTTCACCAGGGCTGTGGGCAGAGGTTGCCCTCTGCCATCTTCTTCCGCAGGGCATGAGGGGTCGGTTCAATAGGCCCCCCAAATTTCATGGGGTTTTCAGGGGGGGTGACAAGGCGTGCTTTCCCCCGGAGTGATTTCACTATCAAGTTTCTTCCCGGGTTCAAGCTCAGTACATCTTTGGGACACCCATGTTTGTCTGCTTTCAACTGTAAGCTGTGATTGAAGCTAAACACGAAACGAATATTTTCAGCAGACTTTATCATGGCTTCATGCAGGCCTGGTTGACGTCTGGGGTTCTACAAGCAAACACACAAGGTCATTGCACCGAGTAGAGACCACAGTATTCCCCCGATGTCATATTTACCTGCGTTGTTTTCACATAGGTCCCCCTGAAAGCGAGCAACTAAGGCGGCAGCCAGGAACAGTGAACGTCCACTAGATGGCTGAACACTGGAACAACAACCAGATGGTTGCATCGCTTCGGGTGGGAGCAAAGGTGTTGGAGCGACTACTCTGGGCTGTTCTTTACATGACAGCAAACATAACTCCAACTAAGACAAAGATTAGGTTCATCCCACTCCAGCTCCAGGTGAGTTCGCTCACGAACGTTGGCTATGTGGTTGGATTGTTCTCCGGATGTCTCTAACTACAGTAACAAAGGATCCGTACTCAACAACAACATCCACACCTTTCCGGACGAACAGCTTCGGTTGGTGTAGAACATGTGTGGGTCTTCCTGCTGCAACAACGGCAAGGAAAGAGACAATACCAACGCAAGACACTACCTACCCCTAAGCAGCATGCAGCGAAGACCGGATACATGTGCTCCACCTACGGTAGGCAGCGGTTCCCCTAGGTTTCCATGTCCCAGGGGAGCTCTGGCGGACCTCGTGTGTCTAGCCTCGTTCCCTGCCCTTTTGTACAGAACCAAAGACACCGCACTACATGAGGGCCTAAGGAGCCTAACATGTGTAAACCGGTCTGGCAGGGAGCGACATCATGAGGCAATAGTTCGAAAGACAGCTCAAAAGCCTATCTCCTAACTTGAGCAGCACGCATGAGGGTCGTTTCGGCAGACCGTCCCCCTGTTCTCACAAAAACACCAGCGATAAAGCCAGGTAGGGGCATACTAACATATCCTGTAGGGTGGACGGTCTGGGACGACGCGTTGCAGGTAGGTCTGCGTGTATCGGCAACTGGAGTCCTAAGGCACACATGCAAGGCAACGGTATGCAGCACAGACCTAAGCGAATGCACTACCTACGGCATACTCCATCTCTCTCTTGCTTGCCATCTCTCTCTCTCTCTCTCTCTCTCTCTTTTCACTTTCTTTCGACAGGCCTGTGGGCGGGAGTGGCACCCCCGCCCGCTCGCGTCAGCGCCCGCGTATGTTATGGAGCGAGGGGTGTGATTAAGTGCATGCAACACCGAAGCAGCTTTCGTCTTCGTTGCTAGTGAAATGTCACACATTCTGAAATAAGGAATTAATATCAAATACCGGAGTGAGGGGGTGAGCCCCTAAAGCAACGACGAAAGGCTGCACCTGGGATGTTCCCAGTGTGGTGTACTACCTGTAGGCTCGGGAAGACTAGTCTGGCAGCAACTCCCCTCAAGAGCAAAAAGCCAAAGTGTGCTAGGGCCACAGCTTACACAAAGACCTGAGTGATGTTCTTCCCCGAGGTGCTAAAAGTGTACTGTTTCTTGCCGTGTCTTCCGAAAAAGGTCTGGACTACCCGAAACAACAAGGTCAGGAACCTACTGAAGTCAAGGGAATCTGAACGATGCAGAAGAAATCAGCAGACATGAAGGCGACGTTCCCCTTCTAGCGGGGTTGCGGATTAGCGCCTATCAGGCACTATGTTTGAAATCGCGATGTTCAGCACAAATTCAGGAACATATACCACAAGCTGCATCCACAACGAGAGTAGAGC